GAAGACAAAGGTTTGAGTTTTGAACAAAGGGTAGGGTGAGCCTGGAAAGTGAATGCTGACACATCCTCTCTCCAGCTGGGAGATGGGGTCTGAGGACTGCAGCAAAGGTCATCTGTCTCCACATCTCAAGGCAGGAAATGCAATTCAATCCTCCCAGTGACTGATCACTTTGCAAGATTAATGGAATCCTCTCCAACCTGGGTCTCTGTTCTGACAGCACAGAAAGTCAACCAAACTATTTTCCTCCTACTCAGCAAAGTCAGCTGATTTCCTGTTTCAAAAGTTCAAAACTTTTCTCTAGGAGATTTGTTTCTGAGTATTCCTCTGCTAGGTAAAATACTGCCTACTGGGGTTAGATCTAAAGATGGCACTTAGAGATTCTGAGGACTTTTCTACTATCCCTACTTCACATTTGAAAATAAAATAAATGCAAACCTAACAGTCCTGCCAGAAAGGGTTAAAACTATCAGCCCTCTTATCCATCCCTTGAGGCTTGTCAGCCAATGACAACTGAGCATGATGAAGTAATTTCTGGCTTTTTATTTCCATTGGTTAACACACTTGTCCATCAATCCAAAGATGCAAGTTTTGAAAGAATCTTTGAACTTTTATGACTCTCTTCTTGGCATTAACCCTTTAAACGAATTCAGCTATTAGTTCCAGACCTTTCACAAGAGGAGAAATACTGTAAAATGAAGAATTCTAGATTGAAAGTTAAGGCCTGACAGTCAAGGCTTTTCCTTACTTTTTTTTTTTTTAAACTTCAATTACTGGGGACTGAGGACTAAAAATAAAAAAGAATGGTCTTTGAGAACAATCTGGAACAGAAATAGCATGGTCTGTTGTCCTCTTAGATTAAAATAAAAATATTTTTGAATTTCAAAAGTAATGCAGAGCATGGAAGAATTTGCTATGACTTTTTTTTTGCTATACTGCTACTCCTTTTTTCTTCCTTCTCCCCTTCTTGTGCCCAGAGCTTTCACATGCTGGGCAAGTGTACTGCCCTAAGTTACCTCTCCAGCTGGAACTAATTTTTAGCTTACACATCTCCATGGCACAACATTTAAAAAGGCACTACAACATATAAAATGAAATTAGCTGTCAGGTTCAAAACTAGGCAAAATAGATACCAAAGAAATAACTTTCCTTCTGTTTTCAGGTTTTTTTCCAATTTTTAAATCTTTCCTAAGGATGTAAGATACTTAATGATTCATTATATATAATTGGCTTTTATTTTATTTATTTTTGTCAGTTGTGGGGCTTGAACTCTAGGGCTGGGCACTGTCCCTGAGCTCTTCTGCTCAAGGCGAGTGCTGTACCACTTGAGCCATAGCACCACTTCCTAATTCTCCAACTTTTAGCTTCCTTTTTCTTTTTACAGTACTGGGGTTCAAATCCTAGGTCTTGAGTTTATTTGTGAGATCCAGGCAGGTGAGCCAATCTCACCCTATCAGGCCCTTAGAATATGTCACCTGCAAGCTCACATGGTAAACATTCATCAAACCACAGGGGCTTTTTTCCAGGAAACCTTTGCCAAGATACGATCCCCTGTCTTCAAGGAACCTTCATTCATTCCACAAGTGTTTCCAGGAGATTGATAAAGGAGATTCAGAGCCAAATCAAACTTTAATGGCTGTGTAGCCTGGTGTGTGAAGGACATTGAGGCTAAACTGTTTTTGCTGTGCTTTTGTGTCTTGCTATGTTGTCCAGCCTAGCCTCGAACCTTCCAAGTTGCATGTACTGTCATGCTTAGCTCAACATTTTTTGTTCATTTTTCTGAGACAGGGTCTACAATGTGTAGCAGACTGGCTTCAAACTTTAATCCCATTGCCCATATCTGCTCAACAGCCAGATGTGGCCAGAGGCAACACTATTAGACAGTATAGATATATAATATTCCCAACATGTTTTTTTTTCCTATGCAACAGTCCCCTAAGAGGTTCATATGCTGGTCAGTATGCAAGCTCTGGATTTCTATCAGCTTGGGGTTCAAATCCTGTAGCTGTTGTAGTCACTGAAGTTAAGGAACTTGACCTCTATTTAAGCATTGGTTGTAAAATAGCAATTACAGTCCCACCCTTAAAGCCTTAGCAAAGATTCAAAGACATCAAATTGTAACGTGCTCTGCTCAAAGGTATACTAAATTCTTGGGGCCTGAACTCAGGTCCTGGGTACTGAGGAATTGAACTCAGGGCTTCATGCCTGTGAGGCAAGCACTCTGCCACTAAGCCATATTCACAGCCCCCATACTAAGTTCTTATAAGTCAGGAACTATTGAATTTCTGTTGATGAGAACAACTTAACTTTCTTTTACTTTTCTTTTTCTTTTGTTGTTGGTCGTCGGGCTTAAACTCAGGGCCTTTGGCGTTGTCTCTGAGCTCCAGCCACATCTCTGTTTCCAGTTTTCTGGAGATAAGTCTCATAGACCTTCCTGGATTTGAATCCTTAGATTTCAACCTCCTGAGTAGATAGGATTTCAGGTGTGAATCACTAGCACCCAGCACATCAGTTTTTTTTTTTTTGTCAGTCCTGGGGCTTGAACTCAGGGCCTGGGCACTGTCCCTGAGCTTCTTTTGCTCAAGGCTAGCACTCTACCACTTGAACCACAGCACCACTTCTGGCTTTTTTCTGTGTAGTACTGAGGAATCGAACCCAGGGCTTTCTGCATGCTAGGCAAGCACTCTACTGCTGAGCCCCATTCCCAACCTCAACTTTAGTTTCTTAACTAACCAGAAATTCTGAATTCTGGTTTCTCAGGGTTCCATCCAGCAACAACCTTTCCTTGGAAAGGGCAACAGTCCATCTCCCAACCATGTCTCCAGTATAAGTGGGGCTGTCCTTGTTTTAGGGCCCATAGCTCCTCAGTGAGCCTGTGACCCTTGAAAAGAACGAATGAATGGGAAAACAACAGACAAGATTTGCAAGAACCAGCAGGAGGGTCTAATGCAATTTTGAATACAATTGTCCTCTAGTTTTCCTGTAAGAAAATTTCATCTTTCTGGCTCCCTCCCTCCCCTCCTCAACTCCTTTGAGACAATCAACCAAAGCTGGAACTCAAGGGTCTTGGCCCTTCCCCCTTTTGGCCCAAAATAACCTCCCCCCCCCCACTTTGAGCCAAATGCTTGGAATTCTTTCAACAGGAGGACAAAGCCTTTCATCTGCCCATTACTGATAAAGAGAAAATGCAAATATGCTGGGCAAGGTGATCCATCAAGGCCCAACATTTATTGAGTGACACCTTAGACCCAGGCAGCGAAGGCTTTACAGGGAGTCAAAGGGGAACAAAACCCAGCTGGCCTATTCTTCCCTCAGTTTGTGGTTTCCTCAAGGTTTGTAAAGGGAGGGGATTAAATTAGGCAACTAGTCAACTCTACCCCACTCAGACAAGCTAGGAACTTCCCACTAATGTGATAAATGGTCTTTAACTGTTTTCACAATAAGGTGGCTGGTAGGGGACTTTTTCCCTAATGCTGGCTTTTGGGAAGGGGAGAAGAGAGGAATCTCAGTGAGAAAAGATGGAGGAAGAAAGAAGATCAAACATCCCATTTCCAAGTTTTGCCTTATTTTACTTGTCATTTTCACCGCAGCTCAGCCTAGGCTCCCCTTTGAGCAGGGTCACTTCATTTTGTGGGAAAAGTGAAACTGGTCAGTGCCAAAAAATGCAGCCTTAACCAAGTGGGCTCCAGCTGGAGCACCAGAGCCTCACAGACCAGCTGCATAATCTTAAGAGTCCAGTCTCCTCCCAGTCTCCTTTTAAGAGTAAGATTAGGTGGAGGAGTGGCTCAGGTGGTTCAGGGCCCACCAATGTGATGAGCAAGAGTCAGAATACTGAGTTTGAATCCTGCTCTTGGACAAAAGAAAAAAACAGGGCTGGGAAGGTGGCTCAGTGGTAGAGTGCCTGCCTTGCATGCCTGAAGCCCTGGGTTCGATTCCTCAGCACCACATAAGAAAAAAGAAAAAAAGCCGGAAGTGGAGCTGTGGCTTAAGTGGTAGAGTGCTAGCCTTGAACTGAAGAGCTGAGGGACAGTGCCCAGGCCCAGAGTTCAGGCCCCATGATCGGACCAAAAAAAAAAAAAAAAGAAACAAAACAAAACAAAACAGCTTTCATTCTCTTGGGAGAAGCAAAGAAAAAGGACCTGGTTCTTGGTGGGGATGGGGGTGGAAAGGCCCTTACTCTGAATGACTTGATTGGATGCAGCCAAGTTAGCACAGGAGACTTGAGGTTGAAGAAAAATTCTGGTGTTTCATTCCCATTCAAAAGTTATGTTTACAGCTCCAGATGGGTATTGTGGGGTACACCTGTAATGTAATTCCAGTGTTTGGGAGGCTGAGGCCGGAGGATTGTGAGCACTAGGCCAGCCCAAGTCTAAAGCCATTATAGACTATAGAACTATATGGCAGAAGCCTTCTCTTGAGGGGACCAATCTGGAGCTGATGGCTCCTTTCAGGTGTGGGGTGGGGAAGCCAGGAAGCCACTTCCCACTACAGGGTGCTTGTTGGCAGGGGCATGGTCTGGAGGCAGAGTAATCATGCAGATTCCTAATTTCTCCAAGCCTCAGTTTCTCAGTCTGCAACATAATCTGCTCTAACTAGCCCACAGGGTTAAAAACAAGTAAAATACTGTGTTCTGCACCTGCTGGGGCATCTAGGAGACTGCTTGGTGTAGCTCTTGATACCTTCATCTTATCAAGAGCCCCAAGGACGTTCGGCTGGAGGAAAGCTTAGCACCAGCTTTTCTCACAACTAAAATGTAGTTGAAAAACCCAGGGCCAATTCTGAGTGTAGTCCTGTCACTTTTTCCTCTAGTCTATCCGGCTTCAGTCCCAAGCATTGGGCAGGGGAACACTCACGGACCTAAACATTCCAAGTGTGCATAAACGGTACCCTTATCCTCTCTCAAGCATTAATCAAACTGCTCCCCAAGATTCCCTTGCCATGTCCTTCAGAGTTAGATTCCTTTCCACCACTCTCCTCCTATAAAGCCGCCAACAAGGGCTTACCTTTTACTTCTTTGCCAGCTGCTGAGAAGCTGGATCCGATTCTCTTGAGTGTTTCTCACCGAAGCATCGATTTTCTCCTAGCGAATGGCAGGACCTTAAGAAAAACAACAACAACAACACAACAAAAACCCGCCCAATTTCTGTTGCAGGGCTGGTTGCTAGCCGGGAACTCCACCGAGGCCGACAGAATGAATGAAAGACAAAGTCTCCCGGCCAGCGGCCGTCTGGCTCTGCTTCCTGTACCTGTGTGTGTCCGCATCTTTTAAGTTTCCCGGGCTTAAAAGTTGTGCAGCCCATACAGATATGGAAGTGCCTAATTTCTTCCTGAGCCCCTCCAGTGCTTCTTCCACGCAGGACGTTAGGTAGCGAGTTCCTAAATGCGAGTTTGGGCAGGATCACGCGCTCCAAAAGACAAGCAGCAGGAAAACAAAATAACCATACAAAATGTTCTGCATTCGGGTCACCGAGGCCGGCCGTGGGGGTGGGGGGCAGGGGCCGGGGAAGGGGAGTCGCGGGGGGGGAGGGTGCCAGGCCCCGGGGGCTTTCGGTCGGTAGGCTCCGTTTGCATTTCCGCGCCTCCCGCTGAGGCCATCCGTGCAAATCTGCACCTCCCTCCCCCCTCCTCTGCTCCCCCCCTCCCCGCCCCGCCATCTCTGGGATGCGCCCGCCGCCTTGCAACTCAACCCTCCAAAAGTCAGCCCGGCTCCCCACTCCCGGGCGGCGGCGGCGGCGGCGGCGGCGCCTGCGCCTGCGTGCAGAGGCGCACTCGTGACCCAACAACAAAACGGCGATGCCCGGGCGCTAACGGCGCCCGGTGCCTCG